TTACCTTCCTGAAAATGACAAAGAACCGTCAGTCAATAACGTCAATAAGTTTGCAATCAAATTTCCTTTATTTTTACCTTACTGTGAGTGAAGACGAAAACGGCAATTAGAAGGGGTAAAATTAGGCCTGTCATGTGTTAGCGTGGCAGATACCCATTACGCGATACTGAATTAGGCATGAACCATTTATTATTATTTTTTTAATATTTATTTGTATGTTTTATGTCAAATATTATTTTCAAAGGCAATGTGTTAAGCTAACTTTTAAATGGAATTAGTGTGATTTTGGTCATGATTTGGGTCCTATTAGAGTTTGTCTTTTATTTGCGGATATTTATTAACACAACATCCGGGCCTCCTGTATGGTGTTCTCACATAGTGTAGCATAAGGCTAGTAGAAGTAATAGCCCTGAGGGATAGTTGTCATCAGGCTGAATCTCTCGTCCTTGCCTATTTCGATCATATTAGAAATTTAAAAAAAAATTAATGTAAGATGTGACATCCCTTTGCATTAGCAAGATAAAATTTTGTTCATTTTCTTTTACTCTTTTCTCAAGGTACAGCTCATTGCTGCCTCTAAAGTTTACCATCAACAATAAATTCGAATTACGTATTTTGGCTTGATGAACCTAATCGTTTGATCCAAAGGGCGAAATTGATCAAAAGTTTGAAAATAATTGGGAAATGCCCAGTTTCAATGTTTCAAGATTCCTGTCAGTCAGAATAGTTTTTCACGTTTTTAAATTGCATCTGTTTTAATCTCCGTGATATATTAGCAGAATCTCTTAAACCATTTTTCGTTCTTTTTTTCCCCCGTATTTGCCAAGTATAATTTTCATTTATGTAGCAGTCAACGGATGTGTTTTTAATCTACCTTAAAAATTATATAAGTAATGCCATACATAAAACTGCTTACTTTATACACAGCTGTTTTTGTTTTTTTGTCTAACTGTATACACAATTTATAATTTAATTAATTTTGCATCAAATTTGATAGTTTAAGAATTATTTTAATAGTTCATGCATTAACCTTAAAAAAATATTTTGTGGAAATTAAATTTGTGCCAGTTAAGACGTCCATTCGCCCAATGAATCGGTTGGCGATAGTGTTGTCCACCCCAGCCCTCGACAAATTGAGAGAGACTTATCATTTATATAATGCAATTGTTAAGGTCTTGTATGTGTTATGTGATTGCGTTTTGGTTCGGAGAGTATTTGAGTATCTGTTGCTTTATGCTTTGTATTTTGTGAGGTTTTTGCGTTAGGGGAATTGACGTTGTTGAATGGTGTTGTTATGGTGTGGAATGATAACAGTGCTGATGTGTTGGATTTTATGAGTTGTCTTATATTTAATAAAGAGATGTTCGGTCTATGAATCAATGGTTTGTTGGGTAATTGTAACCGCTAGACAACGAAGCTGTTGAACCTGGTCATATGGGGTACGTAACTTTATACACGGCGGTTGGCAGGGGTAGGTCAAACACTGTAACTGGATTACCTGTCACGACATACAAGTCTTTAACAGCATAACATCGACGTGTTAAGAAAGTAATTTAAATGGTGCCACATAACTGGGTATTAGCATGGTCACATTGATATCACCACAGTTTATTTTAACTACTATAATAGTTATGAAGAAATTTGATATTTGTATTTTTTTCTTTGTAGTGTCTATTTTATTGTTCTTGATGCTATTGAACAAGATTAACATATCCTCTGCTGTCCTCTTGGATACTACATTGCAGTTGCAGCTAACCGTTAACAGCTACGTGTTGTTGTTTTTTTAATTTAAATGTTATATTGTTTTTACTGTGCTTGTTCGCTGATGAAGGCTTCTTGCCGACACTTTCGTGGCTTAGTTGAGTCCTTCTTTCAGGTTTTCCAATAATTTGTTTCACTCATTTCCTTTTAACTAAACTGATCGCAGTCTCTCCCCGTTATTGCCAGTGTAGGCTTCAAAATGAATTTTGTGTTCATACACTTTATAATGCATTAATAAGAAATTTAATAAAAATACAGATATCAAATATAAAATGTGAACAATATCAATTATATTGAGCGTTGTGAATTTTTATTAGTTTCACAATTCCCTCATTTAATTAGGTAAAAGGTAACAAAAACTCTTTTGAAAAGATAAAAATGAAAATTTCGTTGTATTTTCCGGAAATAATCCATCGTGAATTAAAACACGTGTAATAATTAAGTTTGAGCAATGCTTTTTGCCACAAAAATATGGTGCCGGGTCTCACATCTTTTAAGGGGTCACTCATAATGACGTCACAAAATGGTGCTTTTAAGGGTGAGGGTCGCGATCTGATGACGAACTAATTTGAGGGTTCTAACTTATTTGACACAGTCTGCGGCGACGTGGGGAGGGGTGCAAATCGGCAAAAATAGTATTACGTCATTTATGGATGAATCTGTATATATATATATATATATATATATATTATATTATATCGTTCATTAAAATTTGAAGTTTGGATTTTTTTCGCCAAATCAGATTCAGAAATATCAACAGGCGTCGTTATGTTCATGTGTTCTGTCATTGTGTCTGTTAATATTCTGTCATTGTGTCTGTTAATATTCTGCCATTGTGTCTGTTAATATTCTGTCATTGTGTCTGTTTATATTCTGTCATTGTGTCTGTTAATATTCTGTCATTGTGTCTGTTAATATTATGTCATTGTGTCTGTTAATATTCTGTCATTGTGTCTGTTAATATTCTGTCATTGTGTCTGTTAATATTCTGTCATTGTGTCTGTTAATATTCTGGCCTTTTTATAAGCAGAGCAGGTGTTTGAGACGTTATTATTATGTGTGGTGGCCTAATCCTTTCCATACAACAACCCAAAACATTTTAGCGTTTCAATTTTTTTCCAATCTTTTAACAAAGCGATAACTTAGCAATGTTCAAGTGAACCTTTGAGTAGGTAACGTAGGGAAAGAGCTTTGTTTCTCACGATCAGATGTTATTAACTTTGAGCCACTTATTGACTCATCATGCATAGAGAGTTCCTTGTTCCTTTAAACCTGAATCAGGATGTGATACTAATTTGGTGGAGCTGTTTGCATTCTTGGCTGTTATCAAAGAATGATGACATTGTTGTAAAATGTGCATGTTGTGACAGCCTCAAACATTTTAAAAGTTATTCTGGTCTGGCATCATTCTTGGACACTTGGCCTGCTCAGTGGCGTAGCTAAGTTTTGTGTCGTCAGAGGCAGGATAAGACTTTTTGCCCCCCCCCCCTCCCTTGCCCACAATTCAACGAAAAAACTGCAGTGGGTAAAAATGCTGCCTCTCCATACAAACATTTTAAAAGTTATTCTGGTCTGGCATCATTCTTGGACACTTGGCCTGCTCAGTGGCGTAGCTAAGTTTTGTGTCGTCAGAGGCAGGATAAGACTTTTTGCCCCCCCCCCTCCCTTGCCCACAATTCAACGAAAAAACTGCAGTGGGTAAAAATGCTGCCTCTCCATACAAAGAAAAATAGACTCCTGGTGCAAACCGCCCCTTCCGCCCCCTTAACTCTCCACTGTGCTTGCTTCTTTTTATTTCAATCATAGGTTCAATGTAATACTTTGGTGAGCTAATTGATTATGTCAGATGTAAAATTATAACACATTTAATTTAAGTAAATAAAATGTCAGCTATTGTTTAAGTTCAGATGATGGATTAAAGAATAGATAAGATCTCTTTGGTTTTCTAAGTAGTTTAAAAACAAAGAAAATATAGCGTGTTTTTATTTGTTTTTTCCCCAAAAATTTTGCAAATTTATTCTTAAACTGTTTCTCCTAATATAAGGGAAATAAGCGAAACAAAGTATGGGAAAACTTGTTTTTTCGACGATGAAGGCTTCTTGCCAACACGTTCGTTGTTTCGTTGCGTCCTTTTCTCAGTTTTTACCATACTGTGTTTCACTTATTTCAATTTTTATATCATTACTGAAGTTACCCTTATTACCTTTCTCATAATTTTAGTTTTATCAAAATTTACAACACTAAAATTCGGATCAGAAATCGTTTTCTTGCACTTTAAAAAAAATATTTTACCAGATCTAAACGTCGTCGTTGCATTAATAATGCTTTAAAAAATGAAACTTGAATGTCTACTTGAATGACAAAATGTGTCCGCTGTGATCTCAAGAATCAAAGGAATGAACTCACCGATTGCATGATTGCATGACGTGATTAGGATATTCCACAAGCCTCGCTGTCGCATCATTCTCAGTGTTGTTAGAAGTTAATTAATTGCTATCCCTGGTAATATGCTCCAAACCATGTTTCTTTCAAATGGTGCAAAGTTGAGACAAATTAAGTTGACATTTGCTCTGTTATATCACCGATTGCATGATTGCATGACGTGATTAGGATATTCCACAAGCCTCGCTGTCGCATCATTCTCAGTGTTGTTAGAAGTTAATTAATTGCTATCCCTGGTAATATGCTCCAAACCATGTTTCTTTCAAATGGTGCAAAGTTGAGACAAATTAAGTTGACATTTGCTCTGTTATATCACCGATTGCATGATTGCATGACGTGATTAGGATATTCCACAAGCCTCGCTGTCGCATCATTCTCAGTGTTGTTAGAAGTTAATTAATTGCTATCCCTGGTAATATGCTCCAAACCATGTTTCTTTCAAATGGTGCAAAGTTGAGACAAATTAAGTTGACATTTGCTCTGTTATATTCAAACATATTTTCAAATACATCAGGGGGTCACTTCTGTCTATTATATTTTCCAGATCTTGTCAGGGTAATGTTTAGCCTTAACGATTGAGAGATTTTTAAAGAGTCTCATGTTTTTATACTATTCATTTGATTAATGTGCTTTTTAAATATATTTTTTTTTATTGTTGTTAATTATCTTTTCAGTTAACAAATAAAAATAATTTATTAAATGAAATTTATCAAATTAAATCTTAGACTTAGACCTAGGCTCTATCAGGCACACATTCATCAAAGTGAACTTGAAAACAAAATGAACTCCTGGAATTTCAATCTTAATCAATGTAATTTTTCTTTACAACTCACAAACACACGTGTTCAAAAAGGCTTCATGAACATGTCAAGATAAGTTTAAAATGTCAGAAGTTGAAAGATCAATTCAAATAAGCATATCATCATTTTAGTCTGCGAAAGTTCAGAGTGAGAAATAATTCTGCAGAAAAGAAAGAGATATGAATAGCAGCTGCTCAATAAATTATTTGTTTTGTATTAAATTCATAAGTTATTCTAAGAAGACAAGCAAACCTATTTTTTTTAAATTTGACAAGTGTATTTACTATTTATTTTAATTTACTTTACGCTGAATTAATATATATAATATGGAAATAAATGTTTTAATCCACTCTCTGACTTAATGTAATCCAAATTTTAAAACTGGCTTTAAAAATTATACGAATGAAAGAGTTACTTTTGTTTTACTCACATGATAAAGCTGACATGTACAACTTGGAAAAGTACGATCCTTGCGTCATTCAAATAAAATTTATAGCTGTCAAACGAATCTATTAACGTTGCGTCATTCTCATTTCATTGTTACTATTTGAACTTCAACTTTCTCTTTCGATCAATATTATATAAAACCTTTAAAAAAAATATTGCTCAGGCAGTGAGCCTCGACTTGAATGTTGTATAAAATATCACATAAATAAATAAATCTAGTTAATAATTTGAATAAAACAAATTAAAAAGGTATACTTTTAAGATTGACTCTGTAAAAAGTCCTAATATGTAACTTAACAAAAAAAAAGTCTCAATATTTGACTTAACTAAAAAATCCCATTAGGGCCTTTAGCAAAAGATCACAATAAGAACTCTTAGAAAAGATTTCACAAAGAACTTTTAAAAAAGCGTACTTTGAACGTTCACAAAATGTCCCTTTAAATACCTAAACAAGGTCCCAAATGGAACTCAAAAATAAATGTTTATTAAGACCCTTCATATATGCACCTTACTTGTTATTGGAAGTAAACTATCTTTGGTCAATTTTATAATAGTTGCTAAGTTTATTTGAACATTTGCTGAATGGCGGCTGATCTGTAAAGCAAATAAAATGTAACATTTATTTTTAAAATCCATCTACATAGAATTCCATATTCTGATAAATAATCTTGTTAATTTGCTCTGGATAATCTAAAACTAAAGTTGGTTTATTTATGATTACATATTAATCTTACAGATACAGATGAAGTAGAACTCCTTTAATTACTTCTCAAAATGTTAATTTTAATGTAAATGCTAAATTTGTAAGGAAAGTAAATTATTTTTTATTATAAAATTATTATGTAATAAAATACAACATAAATAAACAATTTTTTTGCCAGTTTAATATATTTTAGATATTAGAACTCTCTTTTGAATTACGTTACTTTTTTCTACTGTGAAAATAGTTGTTATAAACAAGAATGATTACCTCAACATCTATCTCTAGGTGTGTAAAGTTGTAACTGCTCCAGTTTATGTCAGTCTTTTTGGAGACGCTACACCTGGACAACTGACCACATTTTGGACTAAACTTTGCAATAAAAAAGCTTTCAAAACCGGCAGGTTCAGCTAAAAAGAGTTTTTAAAAATAGGAATAAAAAAAAATCCAATAATTTCATTAAATGTTAACAGATAAATATTTTTTTAAAATTAATCTGAATGAAATCATGAATGCATGAAAAAAATATTCAGTTTTAAAAAAAAATATCAACATAAATCAAATTAGAATAGTACCATATATAAAATATTTCATTTACATGTCCCTTTTTTAAAGTTTTGAATTAAAAAACAAACATGGAAAAAGATGTACATATTATAAAGGTAAGGTCCAATGTTAAAAAAAAAAATAAATATAAAAAGTTAACACACTTTTCCTTATAGCACAGAAAGAAGTTGCATTCATGGTTTCCTTATCTTCTTCAATAAGGTTTTTGACCCCTGGATCTGGAAGAAAAACTAAGACTGTTCCCTAAAGAAGAGAGAGAACAAGATCAAAATCAAAAGATTTAATGAATGTACTTCAGACATACACACACAGAGCTTGAACTAAATGAATGTGGGTGAAATTGTAAAGCAGTGTTTTGTAGTTGTTGCGTTAGGCCTTTTATTTTTAAGCTTTAGAATTAACAGAGGATCTGAAGAAAAAGTTTCGGTCACAATCAAGTGGTACAATAATAGAAATGAATAGACAAGAAGTAAATTGGAATATTTTAGTCAGCTGTTTAGAAATTATTATTTTATTTTTTTGTTCAATAACTTAACAATCAAGGTATTCATTTATTTTTGCCTGGAAGCACAAATTTATTCTGAATGTTTATGCTATTATACTATTTAAATACGTGTAAACTAATTTAATAGCAATATCTGAATAGGACCATATGACTACATGCTGCAAAGTTGACACGTTCCAAAACTTCTGTGTTGGGCATTTTGTCCTGGCATCCTTAAAGGACTCGATAAATTATAACATTAATCAATTGTTTCCAACTTACAATAGTTGTGGCATCCGAAACACCAAAGTCACATGTTGTATTGATAGCACTTGTGTTTCGCTGTATCATGATGTTAAGTTCTGCTTTGACACACAAGTTTCCACCATCACAGACTTTGACAAGTAGCTGAGTAATAAAAAAAAAATATTTATAAATTGCTTAAAGTCAAATAATTTTAATTTGCCCAAGGAGAGGATTGAACAATGAAAATCTCATCAATACTTATTGCTCTTAACACCACATTTTACTGCTCACTCACTGTGGATTTTAAAATCCAATTTGTAGTTCAAGAAATACTGTGCTATTATAACACATTTTTTAATAATTTCTTTTTTTAAACTCTGAGTTTGTTATTTGTAAAGTAGATCTAATTAGTTTCGTATTTTTTATCTGTTTAAATTGTAATTAGTAGAGATGAAAGCGATCAAGGGTTGCATTCATAAAAATTAATGACATAAACTTACATTAAATTCGGAGATGTCAGTTAAAACAAGGGTGCGTCTTAATGTGAGCTGCCCAGAATCATTGATTTGGTAGTATTGTTGAGATGGTGCGTCACTGATGATAGTGAATGACAAGTCTTTCCAAGGGCTCTTAAAATAGTGAGATGGTAAAGTTACCAATTAAACTAAAGTATCGCTATTGATGGAATATTCAAATTAGCAGATCACAGAACAAGCGCTAATAAAAATCTTGTAATAATTGAAGAATGATGAAATTTGTGGACATGGGTTCTCAAAAGATGGGCCAAAGATAATTTTTTCAGATTTTCTGATGAAATTTCTACATAATAGCAAATGGGTCTGATTTATATAATATACTTTTCTCTTAACTACTATATATACAATAATAAATAACTAGATTTTTTACACAAAAATGTCATTTACTTTCACGAATCATAAATTATTAAAGATCAATGATTTTTATATCAAAATTAAGGTAAAAACGAAAAAAAATGTTTGTATTTATACATTTATTTAAGACTTTTAAAGGTGTTTTCTATTTGCATAAGTGAAATAACAATATAGAATTATGGTGCACAGCAATAAAATTGCAAGACTCTATAAATGATATGCCTCCAATGTTAACTTACAGTGCCATCAGCATCTGTAGCAGAAAGTGTTACCAAAACTCTGCCTACTGGGACATCTTCAAGCACTGTAAGACTTGAATTGAATGGTTGTAGAGTTGGGCTGAAGTCATTGACATCCTGAAGAAAGAGACCAATATCACAGCTTTATAGATAGATATAATTTGTATCCTTTCCTCATTTCTATATATTTTTTTTTTGTAGTTATGATATATTATTGTTAGTGTAAATAAATTGATTATTGTAATCTTAACTAGCTTTGGTATCGTTTTCTTAGTTCAATGTTTGCAATTCTTTGTTAAATAGAGTAATCATAACGAGCCAAAGCTTAAAACATATTGAAGTGTTAAAAACTTATAATAATGCGTAAAAAAAGTTTAAAACTTTTAAATTTCAGAGTTTAAATAAAGACCAAATTAGAGATGGTGCAGCCCTGCATTGTTTTAGCGTATACTTTACATTTATGTGGCAACTTTTAGGCAACATTTAACTGAAATCGATGATTTTTTTTAATTGATCAGAGTGTTCAAAGATTATTTTTAACAAAAACAATGAAGTAAAATCATGTTTATATTCTTCTTCTATATTTTGAGGGCCCATTTATTTGTGTTAGTTATATGTTTATCCCTCTCTTATTTTTTTAAAAAGAAATTATGTCAGGCGTGTATACCCCTTCTTTGCCAGTACATTTGGAGTTCATGGTCAATACTTAAATAAGCTTTTAAGTAGAGACCGACCAAAAGTGATTTTCTGATTTCGGCCGAAGCCGAAAATAGGCCGAAAGTTTAAAATGACTTTCGGCCAAAACCGAAAAAATACCGAAAGTTTAAAAATGAATTTCGTCCGAAACCGAAAAAAGGCCGAAAGTTAAAAATGAATTTTGGCCGAAACCGAAAATGAAATATTAAGATATTTTGAAATTCGTTCCCGCATACATTCTGCATACATCGAAAATGATGTGGGAAAGTATAAATATTTACATTCTGTTTCTAAAAAATGGGATAATCGTGAATATTAATAAATAAACATCTAATATAGGGGTCTCAAACTCGCGGCCCGCGAGCCATTTGTGACCCGCAAGACGATATCTTGCGGCCCGCTAAATGACAGAAAAGTTTAGTGTTAATGTGCCGGCCCGTTTCCCCCCTTCTCATATCTATAACGTGACTCTCCGCGACGGTTTCAGACGAATCTCACCGACTAGTAATTCTAAATTAAAAAAAAAAAATGTTTCTATATATTTTTGTATGCAAAAGTGAGTAGGTGGATGAAAGTGAATCCTAGTTCTTGAGAACCCTTAAAGATTTTATTGTTATTTATAAAGGTTGATCAGATTGTAACAGTTGTAATCGTTTTTTTTTTGTTGTGTGGATTACTTGATGCGGCCCACTCTCATTCAGACACAACCTCCTTCGGCCCCCCCCCCCCTGATGATTTGAGTTTGAGACCCTTGATCTAATGAATACTTTGGATTTTACCATTTTAATATAAAATTAATTTAAATTGCTTTACAATTTTTTTAATTAGTATGGTAGGAGAAAATTTGGAAAAAATGGGGTGGGGGGGGGGGG